TCTCTCAGACTTTGACTTTCATTTAGCTTGAGCAGCTATGCATGCTTGACCAGCCACAAAATAAAGTCCAACCGGCAACTAAGTCCTGCCTACGGGTTCCCAACACTCATTTTCTTTAGTCGTTCCTCGACGTGAGCCTCATTAGTGGGGAAACTGAAGGATTTCCACATGGCAGATAGTCAAATCCAAATAGGGTAGACTGGATGTAATGTTAACCTCTTGATTCAGAGGCGAAAAAAGCCTTAAGGTGTGATGTAAACCGCAAATAAATGTGTATCACTGTAGCTTAACAATTGAAATGATAGCTCAATATTGAACAGAATTGAATTGCAACATTTATAACAAAACAACATGAGATGAAAACAATTTAGAGCTCAACCGGCTTGGCGTGCTGGCGAAGTTCAGTTGCGATGCGGTCCAAGTCTTTTCTTCCCTAGAAGAACAATTCTAATGACAGCACGTAACCACATGGAAATGCTACGAGGCTGTTAGTAGAAGGAAGGAAAATATGCGGAGCAGAAACACCCGCAAAATGAAAAATTTTACTTTGCTTCTTACAGGAAAAGACCATAGTAGATTACCTGCTTCGACAATACTCGGCCTTTTCCATCAGCGTGTTTCTCCACCCACTTGATTGCTTCGAGAGTTTGCAGGGCCTTACGAACAACTGACCCGGATCCCTTCTTGAAATGATTGGGTCGGGATCCACGGCCTTTCTTTCCACCGAAAACTGTGCGCAGAGCACCAACTCCTAAAATTTGCTCGTGTAAGCCATACCGTGTCGTTTTTTACTCTCGCACCCATCGTTATGTTACGTTTGAAATAAAAATTTGCAAACAACTTCGAGCAAGCGGGTAAAATAAGGAAATTTTGACACCCTTTCATCATTAAATTCCGAAAATGTATACTGCGGCCCATAGATATGTCATAGCCAGTTTGAACGAAAATAGAAAAGCGTGAAAAAGAAAGTTCAAAGTACCCATGGCAAACTCACCAGCTGGAGATCGAATGTATAGGCGTCTGGCAATGCTAGCAGTACGAATATAATACCAATCAGGATCAACTGGAGCGAGCTGACGATTGGTTCCAAGCTTGACGATATCTGACCACTCGGGAACTTTTACTTTGCCGCTCTTTTTGAGGAAGTGAGCAATTTGCTTCACAGCTTCATGCTGGTCCACATCTTTCACGCTGGTGGCCTTCACCATATTACCTGGAAATGGCAATGAGTTAACAGAAAAAAAGAACTACGAGAGATTGTCGGCGACGAGGATGAACACAACAATTTTCTCGAGACAACAAGGTAAAATAAAATGATAAATGTTAATTGTAAATTAAACTCCGATCTTAACAAATTCATCTCCAGCACGATGCAAATCAAATGTGAGCAAGTGTGGAGAACTTCTCAGGAGAGACGACAATTTTCAAACAACACGAAGTCTCGAAACGACAGAACTATAAACTACGTGGATTCAATACATCTTTCGTCTGATTGTAAGCAGATCTCATCCAGGATATTTCAATCGTATTCAAAATGATGTTTACTTCCACAACACACCTAATAAACACGAATCGTGAGAAGGACAATCGATAGCCTACACCGTCGTGACGTGTCAAACCGTGTTTCTTCGCAAAAACGTGTGTAGAGCATATCCGGTTCCGTCTGTTCCGGTCTCGGCGCAGTTCGCCCGAATTTATACCTAATAACGGAAAGAAACCTTATCTTAGACTCACCTTAAAAGTTGTCAGTAGTGAACCAAAGCAACGCAGAGGTGGCTATGGCTCTATTGTACAAAACTCTGATTTACGGTTTTAATTTTGCCCCGAATTAGGCAAAAATAAGGAACAACCCGAAGGATCGAAAAATCACAGGACAATCTTAATGGGTTTGGAAAAATACGGGAGAAGTGGGCTGAATACACTCATATGCTTTGTATAGGTCTCGTTCGTTAATACTAAATGCTTTGAGATGCTTAGAACAGTTCAGTAAGATGAGCTACAGGCGAATGTTACGTTCTGCTATTCCTACTCAAAAAAAAGACTCCAAAAAGAACGCAAGCTCGACATGACACCGCTGAAAAAAAGCTGGATCTATCCATGTGACTATTGCACTGCCCAAGAAAATTGACAAAAAAATTAGGACATGAGAGGAACAGGATACACACCAGATCAAAGAGCATCAGAACCAAACGGGACCGGACGAAAGCACCGAATAATGGTTAAAGCCCATGCTAGTGCACACTCGTTGAGTTGTTTTTCGCCATTTCTGTTGGAACTTTACACATTTAAATAGCCTGTGTGCAAATAAGTTAATAGCTAACATACAAAAGGAGCGTCGCAAGGACGTACATAATAATCAGAGCAATAATCAGCATTAAAGCTGGGACCCACCAACGGGTAAGCCGAGCAGAATGTAGTTTTTGACGGAGTCTCGTAGTCAAAATCATCTTTCTATTACTGATTTTCTTATTTTGCGGCTTCGCTTAAACACGCCAACGAACCAACAGCTACAATATATCATCACTGCAGTAGGGTTTAGAGGCGATACCCTATTATGTAACTGTTTCATACTTTATGGAACTAGAATTAAGAGGAGTGTTCCGCACTTTCAATAATTACAGCTCAAGTTTATTGGAGTTTGACCTTGATTGCTGACTTAACAGCACTAGAGTGACGTATTAGTCTGGACGGGTCTATAACACGAATTTGGCGTGACGTTCCATGAATGTTTGGTAGATGCGTTAATTATTCTCTCTGGGACAGCATCTGTAAAGGAACATTCTGATGTGAATCACAATTCAGGAAATGCAAACGATGTTCATTTAATAAGATGAAAGGTGGCCTCACGCTGCAAGGAGCAGTTTAACAAACAATGTCTCATCGCTTGATTTTTTATTTCTCAATTACAGCCGATGTAGGCAACAGTTGCATTCTCTCTGGGAACTGGGGGACGCACGATTCGTGCGATTCTGGGTACGCGCGACAAGTTGCGCGGTGGAATTCGTGATGATTCGGACGACTCTGACGCCTACTATTGGAACACAAACTTGAAGTAGAGTAGATTGGTAGGATCAGCTGACGACACCCAACTACTCTACTTCACGTTTGTGCCCCAATAATAGGCGTCAGAGTCGTTCGAATACAACCGAATTTCGCCGCGCAATTTGCCGCGCGCAACCAGAATCGCACGAATCGGCACACACCCCTGGGGACTAACAATTAAAACTCTCTTTGCAGTTTCCCACAGGTAACTTCATTCTACTCCGTCAGTTCAACTACTCAACTATTCGTCTGTGGTCTATTCGAAAGCCTAATCTACTGGGGAACGGAACAAAAGGTTATCGAACAACGAAATCTCAGTTCGTGAATCTCAGTCTCAGTCTAAATAAACCTCGGCAGCAAAATGTGTAACCAGATCACATACCTTGCCACTGCGACATAGCCAACGATCTTGCAGCACGGCTCGCAATAGAACGATCCAAAAGGATGAAATTCGAAAGGGAAATGTATTTGCAAACCCCACCGATGACCATTTATCCCTCCCACGACCAGAGCAACGCAATATAAAGTTAATCAAGAGACGTATAACACAAAAGCATCAACAACTCCGCAAATCTTTACAACAAAGAAAACAATTTCTAAAAGAAATTTGGGCCGCAAGTGATTTGCAAGGGTTGGTACTACCGTAATACGAAAGTCTGTAGTTGGTCCCGACGCGATGTGTGACGTTCCTTTAAACTAGCACGCGTGGTGGATGCGTGCGGCATTTTTGAACGGCGGCGTAGATCTTCGCGGATGGGTGGGCAGTTGTTTTTGTTCAAGTGTTGTTGTGTTGTTTGTTGCTGATTTTCTTTGTATCCCCGCTTTCTTGTCCTTGTTCAGTTTTGGTTATGGGCCACTCACTGACATACCAGTGTAAGTGCGATTGGTTATCCTAATTTCGTATTTATATAGTTTTTTAGAAAGTAAACTGCTCGTTGAATGTAAACAAGAGTTACTTCTGCTGCTGTATTTTTTATTTTCTCAACTTGCAACGGGATAATCAGGCAACTTTGTCACTACTCGTTCGTGCAGTGATTCATCATCCCTTGGCATTATCTGTTATAGCAAAGACAGGCGTACGTATTGAACGAGACTTGTATTGGATGATAGTATGCTCAGCGGTGCTTGGGCGAGATATGGGTCATTTCAGGTCACTAAAGCTGTTCATTTGTACATTATGATTCACCGGTTTCCAAGTAACATCAAAACTTGGGAATGCTGTACAATTGTTTGGTTTTGACGGCAATGTAATGCTATCTCGCAAGCTCATCTGAAAGGAAAAATGCGTTGCTTTGGAAAGTGCAAACATGTTGTTTCCCTGTTCAAAATGCAGGACAAACAGCCTTCTCTTTCGAACCAGTTCATTTCATCCCAAATGGAGGGTTACCTGCAATCGCCGCATGGTAGTATTCTTGACCCGTTACACCTGTCTCTCCTGCTCCATCTTTTGCCCTGCTATTGTTGACATTGACAGTCATATTGTGGTGCTAAGTGACGCCGCCGCTGCTCCCGTTTCACGTTTTTTCACGGTTGTGGATCGAATCTTGCCCGACCAACTAAGCCTTTCATGAGGTCCATTGTACTCTGTGAGTCGTCTGGGAGAAAAAAAACATTGACTTGTGCAGGCTCTCTATAACGATTCTGAATGGGACCTTCCTTAGCGAGTTTCAAGCATTGTTAGATGTGAATGATTTATTCTGCTTCAATATGGTTTATTTTCTTGGAGGGCGGGACAATGCCATGTGGTCATGCTTGGTCTGTTTATCACAATACATCTCGCTTCGGAGCTCCCTAAGTCAATCAAGACCCATGCAAATGCGCTCCGTGCCTCGCTGAAATTCTGAGTAGAAAGTGATGCGCATGCTATCCCAATATGAACCTGTTCAAGGCCAATGACTTCTTTCTTTACTTGGTTTATTCGAGCGTATTCTTCAATTAAGGATAGGAATACATAGAAAGCTGAGTGTAGGAACTACATTTCAAACTTCGTAAGATCGTATCACGCTAGCGTTCAATCTTTCAGGAACATTATGTTTAGAAAACGGAAGTATTGATTATAGGCGTTACACATCTGTATGAGTTTATTGTGGCCAATTGCGAGGAAGGGAACGGTCGCGATAAGGATTGCGATACAGATACTTCCACTGATTCAAAATGTTCTATAGCCGCTGTAAAGCATTGACGGTTCCTGGGCGAAAAAACGCCACTTGAAATCTTGCAGAACGGCCAAAAAAGTTTTGGTGTGTCCAGATAATCAAATCTGAAACCCTAATTGAAGGGGGTTCGCAGTCATAAGCCAGCAAAGTCGCTTTGATAAATACAATATCCAGCCCATCTAAACGTAGGCACTCGTTATTAGCTGTTTGTTGTAAAAGAAAGAAGCTTATGGAAGCTGCAGCATTAAAAACAGCATCATACCTCTTTCTTCTCAATACGTTGCGCTTAGGACGAGAGTGTGTCAGGGTTGATGAAGAATGGCGTTTATCTCTCCACCTTTCCACCCACTCCACCCGATTTGGACTACAGCTTCCTTGCGTACACTAATAGTAAAGGTGTCATACTTCTTTTTTTGCTGTTGATGCTACTGATACTAGACTCCGTCGCAAAAAAATGATTTCTACGATGTGAAGAAAGAATTTCTATTCTCAGCAGCTGGGATCAGTGTTGAGAGCACGTTTGAGAATGTTGCGAACCTGTGTAGAGTGCAAGCGGATTTCTTTTCTAGTGTCGTTATTGAATACGTTGCGATTACTGGAAACCGTAAATAGTGTCACTGAAATTGATGACTGAGTATAGCTTTGAATAACGCTACCTTATCTTTGCTTCCCAGACCTTGTAATGTAGTCATATGATTGATTGCGCTGTTCGATTATTTTCTTTTCATATTCGCGATTTCAACTGATACCGATTTTCGTTCCTAAAAACTATTTCCACATTTTTTTCTGTTCAGGATTTCTTAATTTCTAATGGATGCGGATATCAGCAATGGGTGGGTTCCTTCGTTTTTTTCTTCTGATTATTTTTTTTTCAACTTATTGTAATTGAGTCTTCTTGTTTCGACTAAGTTTTGTTGTTCCTTCTGTTCACAATTCTGTTTTACGAAAAATATTCTTTTGTTGCTCATCGACCAATGTTATTTATTAGTGTTGCTGGTAGTAATTTTTAATTTTATAATTTGTGATCGTAGGTGTGGCTCAAGGTAGGAGTTTAGCACTGGTTTACCTCGATTTTCACCCTTCAAAAAGCGTTAAATGCAACTAGCGTCATCGGTCTGTGGCGTTGACGTTAACTTCCCACGTCTTTTCTCCTCCTCTGAAAGTGGTAGTTCTACTTGCTCCCAGTCCTCAAAAGCTCCATGGGCGTTTCGGCGTCAGAAAAAAAGATTTGAATTTCATTGGCGATTCTGATAATTTTTGATAACAATACGTCTCACTCTCATATTTTCTCGATGTTAGAAAAGTAGTTACATGTCCCGATATCCAGCGAATGTTACGTCAATTGTTTCAGTATGATTTTCAGGTCTTCTGATTCTGCAGGAAGTGGTACCGCTCTTCTTTCACGTAAAGGTCTTTTTGGCAAATCTGGAGTCTTGGTATGACTTTTTTTAACAATATTCGTAGCGATATGGTATTCTTCTACTATCTTCAGAATGAAAATTTGGATTCTTCCGTTGCTATCAATCAAGATACACAGAAGTTAGAGGAAAAGAAATCCGATCCTAATAACGATGAACGTAAGTTCTCTACACCACTACAAGATTTTTTGCCTCGCCTTTTCTTATTTCTTATTTGTCCAATTTATTACTCTTTTTTCTGTATGAAATTACCTGAGAATGATATTTAGGATCTTTAAAAAGGCTTATTTTGCATAAAGGTTATTTTGAATATAAAATCGGGAAGATAGACGTTGCCTTTTCAGAAACATGGCATTCCAAAACAGCGCTAAGCAATAAAAAACAATTCAATAATCACGAGTTTTCCCTTTTGAAACCAAAACTCAGCATTATTACTAATTTGTGATGTCTAGAAAATACATCGACGCTCGAGTTTATTACTCACGAACACGTCTCTGAGGGAAATACTAGCAAAGAAGAAGAGCCTTCACCTGAAAATGAACATACTACTACAGAAGAACCAACAGAATGTCTGGAAGTATGTTTTTAAAGCTTACAGGATTTATTGCCATGATGCTCTTCTTAGCCATGTTTGTCTTTCCTATTACTTAACACGTTTAGCCGAAAACGGAACCTAATCCCTCACCTCCACCTTCCGTGGAATCTGTTTCTATGACTGACACACTAGACAAGGATCACCCCCATGATCCATCCCATAACGAAGGTAAGGGAGTTTTAGAAAGCGATCTTGGTTTTTATAGCAGTTGAACTCATTAAGCCATTATTCAGATGAAAATGAAGATCATAAAGAAACAGAAGAAAATGAAAGTAAGGGTGACAGGGAAATGGAAGATGAGAACCAGGACGATAGAGAAAACGAAGAGAACGAAAGTAAGGACGACAGAGAAAAGGAAGAAAACGAAAGCGAAGACAGCAGAGGAAAGGAAGAAAGCGAAAATAAAGGCGACGAAGAAAAAGAGGAAAGTGAAGAAGGCAGTCAAGCAAATGAACAAGTTCCTGCTGGAGACCATAGCACTACTTATGACATCGATGACGAGCAAGAAGCTAATGAGGAGGCCTCTGATCAAGTTCACGGTCCTGGCGAAAGTAAGGACGATGAGCAAAAGGCTGCTGAACAAAAGCCACTCACCCCTGAGCCCTGCCATGAAGAAGTGGCAGAGCCAGAAGTAGAAGAGGAAATATGTGTGAAGAAAATAATTTCGATGGACACGGATGACGTTGAGGTACGCTCTTGTTATTATTTGCTAAGCGCGCACTATAAAGTGCTGTGAAAGCCGACTATTGCGACTGCTGCCTGCAAAATCAACTTATGATTTAGGATCAAACGGAAAAAGTCACTGCTACTGTAACTGATGATAGCGTGGAGCCCACTGATAATGTTATGGAGGTTGAGGAAGAAGCGACCAACGAAGGCGCCGAGGAAATAAAAGAGGAAGTCGAGGAACTTCACGACGAAAGTGAGGAAAAGATGGTGCAAGAGGGAGAGCCGGTCTCTGAGAACCGCGATGTTGAGATGAGCGAGCAATTGGATGATGACGTTACAGAGTAGGTCCATTATCTCTTAGTATTATTAAGTATTTGTTTTATACTAGTTTAATGAGTAGTGATTCTTTCGTTCTGTCATACAAGGCAATGATTACAGTCTATACCATAGAATATTCACAGAACTTGCTAGAGGGATCATCAAAATCATGAGAATTGCTGGATCGATCGATACATCTAATCCTTTGCTTCTTTGCATCACCTTTTTTTTTTTTTGAACCAACCGACCTGAAGCAGCATGGCGCAGTCGTAAATGACCATTCGTGTTTTTAGGGTTGTTCAACCGTCGTCTGAGAGCGAAGCAGTGATCGCGGAAGAAACCGGTGAAGGGAATGAGAAAGTTGATGATGAATCATCTTCTCGGTAAGCGCAGAAATCGAACGAATTTCTTAGCTTTTCCCTCTAACTTTTTAAATCTCTCCGTTATTTAGGGATGTTACTTTGAAAGACGAAACTTCCAAAGATGAGGCAAAAGAAGCAGAAGATGACGAAGAGAAGGAGGCCACTCCGCCTAAGCGGTTAGTGAATGTAAATTAACAGTTTTGAGCGGTGGTTTATTTTTTTTTTCATTTTCTTTACAGAGATTTTCCCTTTTGCTTCTCGGTCTGCAAGAGACACGGATATTTTGGTGATATATTCAAAGCTAGATTGTTAACTTTAGACGCAGTAGTTCACGGCGAAGCGTTGCTGCTGCTGTTCAAGTCGAGCCAAAGGTATCAACGCCGCGGACCAAAGCTACTCCTGCCAGTGTACGTTTAATGCTCTATCACAGTTATCATTTTTCGAGTTTGGTTATTACAAACAGGCGAACTGCTACTACACTTACTTTCTACTTCTTTCTACTACTGAATGAATTAATAATATAATTGCTAATTGCTGCTATAATTGAATAATTGCTTCCATTTTATCTTTGAGATTACCTGTATAAAACTAATCGTTACTATTTTTTTGAATTTATTTTCGTGAGGCAGGTATCTCTACATAGTCAGGGAAAAGCTTCTAGTAGGCTTGATTTTCTGGTTCTTTCAGTGTATCATTTTCTTTTTACATCTTGTTGTTGTCATTCTATTTACCTCCCTCTCTTTTGACTATCAAATTAAAAGATTGGAAGAGTTTGAAAATCAAAAGATTACTGGTACAGACATAATCTTCCGGTGGATCAATCTGTCATGAACACGTAACGGTTGTGGTCTAAACGCTGAACTAATATTTGATTGTTCAGGCTACAAGAATGTCTTCAAGAAAACGTCAGGATGATGAGGAAAAGGCAGACGATGAGGAGGTGACCTTATAACATTCCTCTCAAAAACCCTGAAAAACAAGAGCGCTCTTGTAAAAATTTTACTATAAGGTTACGAAATTTCAGAGACCTGTTGCTTCTGGAAAAGCAAAAAAGCTGGATACGGATGCTAAGAAAAAAGTAGAAAACGTGGAGGAATCGGTTACACCTCGACAAACTCGTCGTCGTTCAAATGTTGAGGAAACAAAAGTTCGTCTTGATCATTTTAATTACATTTTGTCTTTCTTTACGATGTCTTGTATTTGTGAGCACGTTCTAGAAAACTCCTGCTGCAACTCCATCGAAAGGCAAAAAGAACTCAAAGAAAGATGCCACAGAAGCGGAAGATGAAAATGTTGATGAAGAGGAGCAGAAAAAGTCGCAATCTAAGCAAGACGAAGACGAGAATCGTGGTGCAAAGAGTTCACCGCGAAGGAGGTCATCAAGGGTGCAGACAAAGTAGGTTGATTTAATGAATGCATGTCCTTAATTCGTCATTCCTTTAACAATTCTACCACTTGTTTCATCCTCGGTTGGTTTTTTTGTAATTTTTTGGAAGAACCGTGCGTGGTGCAGAGTTTGGCTTCCGTCATTATTTTAGTTCAATATATGATTTTCCTTGGAGGTGTCTTGGCAAACTTCTCGGAAGGGATCTTGAACATGGTTTCCGAGGCTCTTTAACGAGATGCATACACTTTTGCAGAGTGGAAGAGACTCCTAAGCTCAGCCCCGCACGTCGTGGTCGCACAAAGAATGAAAGCAATAGTTCAACAACCGAAAAAGAGGCAAAGAGTGAAGGCAATGCGGACGTTGAAACACCCAGGAAATTGCGCAAATGTAGGGTTTTTGTCCTGTTGCGTCACATTAAGGATAGGTCTACAGATATTCGGCGTTCTTCTTTAGCAGCAGCAACTCCGGCCACACCACAAACTTCCAAGAAGTCCGCGAAAACTCCGAAGTCTGTTAAGAAAGAAGATAATGCAGGCCATGATCCCTACGACATCGATACTGAGATGGAAAGACATCCTGAGCCGCTGAAGAATATCCAGGTTGATCAAAAAGTTTGTGGTTGATAGTCTGTGGCTGATTTGGAGGTGTTTAGATGGAGGTACAGTCATTCGGTGAGGTTAAGTATGCGAAGGTTGGTTCTGGAAAGTATGAGCGGACGGAGAAGACGGCTGAACTACGGGTTGTCAATCTTGCGGAAATGACACCACGTACAAAGCAGCGGAAATCTCTAGCAGATTTGACTCCTGGCCGGAAGAAGGCTATCTCGACGATATCAGGAAGCAATACTGCACCACAACCTTCACGGTGATGAGCTGCTTTTCAAATTTGTTCGGTTGATATGTATTGTTCTCATTTTTCAGTCGTTCTCGAAAGTCAAGTAAAAGGGAAGCCGATACTGACAACGAGGAAAATAAGGACGAGGCTATGGAAGTGGACACTAGTGCTAATGAGAAGAGCACTCCGAAACGAAATGCGAATGCTACAACTCCAAAGGCAACCCCAGGTTCCGGGCGCAAAAGGAAGTGCGTGTTTCATTGTTGATTACTCGCACCGAAATGGAATACTCTAAATGCGATATTGTTACAGAGCACCAACCGAGACGCCCGTAGTCCCTCCAAAACGCCATCAAGTGGAGATTCCTCAGCTGGCTCCGGCCGAGTTATTGGCTGTCGACTATCCTCAAGATGAACACGCTCAGTATGAAGCAGGCGCACGTGTATATGCTATGTTTGATGGCCTGTTCTATCCTGCCATTGTTGTCAGGTAGGCATTCATAGCAGTTTTCAAATTGTAATATACGCAGTCCAATGTAGCATTATAATAATTAATTGGGGTGTGTTGTAGCCGTGACGGTTTGGGGCGATACAAGGTTCATTTTATTGAAGACGATCTAGTGAAAGATGTACCGCCTGCAGGTGTTATTCCGCTGCGAGCTCTTGATCGAGATAAAGAGGTACGTTTCAGAATTGGAGTCATTTGAGATGGTTGTATTCATTGATTTGAACTCATTTACAATTCAGTGTTACTATTCGGAATCGGCCGATAAAGACCGACTAGCAGTGAAGGTTGTAAAAAGTCCTGACCATACCAACGCGTCGGCTTGGTTTGAAGCTGAGTTTGAGTTGGAGCAGCTCAATGATGATGGGGAGCCATTGGGAAAGAAGTTCAAGTGAGTATTGGCTCGGTCTTTCTTCGCACGTAAGGAAATAATGGAAGCTTTTCCTGATTCTCTCACCTTTCTGGGTGGGGAAGGCATAAAGCTCAAAATGTCGCCCGAGATCACACGTCCTGTGAAGGGGCTGACTTGTTCGCATGTAATAAGATAAATTTCACAGAGGGACTTGGACCACGCTTGCGTTGTCAAAGGATGACTGGAGGGACTACATCAACAGAAAATCTCGAGAGGCCACGGACGTAATTGCTGGTAGGATATCTATCATACATATGTTATTGTCGATGTTGTCGAAAATTCCGTTAAATGAGTCGTATTTAAGATAATATCGAGAGTACGGAGGACAGGCATTTGCGACGATCTAAAGTAGCTACGCCCGTTCAAAAACCTACTCCCCGATCAACCCCGAAATCGTCAGCGAAAAAGTCAGAGACATCACCTTCATCACAGTCGAAAACTCCAGCAAAAGGTGAATATTTATTGTTGAGTACATATGTTCGTTTTCTAAGTATTTCTCTTATTCCTTTCAGGTGGCCGACAAAAAAAGGGAGGTGCCGCAAAACAAACTAAAGCTGGTGCAGTTGATGGTACGTTTCTCTTAAATTGTTTATTTGATCTGAACAAGAGCAGTCAGACAATGTGGTTGAATCAAACGCCTTTTTTCATTTTTCATTTGTCATTCATTTTTTTCATTCATTCATTCACATTTTTTCATTTGTCTTGCTCTCTCTAATTGCCATTGTAGTGTCCCCCAGTAGCAGGGTACAACAAATATATATACAGTAAATATTGTTCTCTTAATTCTACAATGTCTCATGCACGCTTCTAATAATTGTTGCAGAAGAAGCAGAAGGTGCTGCCGAAGCTCAAAATGATCAAATTTTCGCGGGAATGTTGTTCATTCTGACGTCGGCAAATAGGCCAAACACTGACACTGGATTCAAGAAAAAGTTCATGACCGATTTCATCTCTTCTCATGGAGGTCTGGTGGTCGATGATATGAAGGTGAATGTTGTTGACTTACTTGTATTATTCGCCCTGTAGTCCCAATCATGAATTGTATCCTGTCGCAATTGAATCTGGATACCTTGGGAATAGGATAAAAATTGTTGTTTTATATCTCATTCACTGATATTGCAGGAGGTCGATGAGCATCCAGAAATGGAGAGGTTTCTGATTTCGGACACACACTATCGTACTCACAAGTATTTGGCGGCTCTAGTTCGAGCTATGCCATGCGTATCTCACGAGTGGATATATAAGTGTTTGGAAGAGGTAATGCTTGCTGCTATTCTAATTTAGCTTGTTCTAGCTTGGAAAATGTTGTGACAGTCTTCTTTACTGAGCTTTGTTTTCATGTGATCGTTACATAGGTTTTATCGTTACACCGTTCCACATTGTCTGTTTAGAAAAAACTCGTGGACTATAAACCATTTTTGTTACCATCAGGCGTTTCCATCCTCGACGAACAGGAATATCCTTTGTAAGTCACGCTTTAGACATTGTTTACTTCACATGAATAAAGAGACTTCAATTTTTCCAATTACAGACCTACAAAACGCGGACTTCTGCTCCGAAATAAACGAGTGATGGTCCACTCAAACGTCACACCGCCAAGTAAAAAGTCGATGTCCTTCGAACAGATCTGGGTCCCTATGGTACCTCACCTTGGAGGTGAAATTGTTACTGACATGCCCAATGAAAGTGAGAACATACAACTCATTGGTTATTTTCAATTTTGAATATAGAAGCGCTGAACACCCTGTTTATTTGTTTCAGTGGTAGGCTTAGCAGCTACTGCTTAGGGAATATTTGTATCATTGTGAAATGATGTCGCAATTTCTTACCATTTTTTGCAGAAGGAAAACTTGACATACTCCTCACTGACCACTCAGCAACTGCTAGTCTTGTTGAGAAAGCACGAAAGATTGGATGTGCGGTTGTTTCATCGGAGTGGTTGATTCAGGTCAGTCTGCTTGTTAGCCTGTATATCAGTGTAGTTTCAATCGTGACTGTAGTTTCAGTCATGATTTATTGATGAGTTTGTAGGTGATTTTCTTTAATACACTGTCTTTGATGTATAAGGCCCATGTGGAGCTGACGCCAAGCAGTTTTTTCCTCTGCCCTTAATCAGTGATATGAGAAGTGCTGAGAGATGTTTGCAAAGGTTTTTNTTTTTGTGGTGTGAACTGTGATACTTTTTGCACTTCAGATTACAGTTATCAAAATGGTTTCTTCGAGGGTTGCTACCTTCCGCATGAGGATATAAGCTGTACTATATTACGAGAGCTCTTTTTCAGGGAATCATTATGGATCGCCTACCTGATGTTAACGCCCATCAGAAGTTCCTTCATAACGGTGGTGTCTGCACGTAAACTTCGGTGTTTTCATGTTGTTTTTTTTTATTTCGAAAAATATTCGTTTTATAATAGCACATTTATTTTTTGGAATGGACGGTCAGAAGTTACAGGCTTGTTTCTTGAGACTTGTTTGATATCTCACTCTTCATATACTTCACCATTGAAAAACTCAGCAAATCGGGACGTGTGGGTGACGTACGGATGTATTACCTATATGGTGCGTACGAAAATAACCTGTAGTTGTTGTACATTTCGTTAGTATTAGACCTATTCAAGCCCTCACAAGTTGATTAATTATGTGGTACACCTGCATGTCCTGTACAAAGCGATAGCTGAACATTAATGTAAATTTCTGTGCAAGCGTGGATCATGTTCTTACGTTGACAAATATCTGATATAACACATTGTAATGGAAATGGAATGTTTCGGATAATCCTTGTGAATCGAAGTTTTTTAAATGTATTGTTTTATACGATTGTGTGGTCGATCTCTTTAATGAAATGTTATTACAACCTCTGTCTATCTATCTTAATGCCGTTCCTATTTATGTACCCACACCTAGTATGGATGCGCCCAGTGGGCTCAATAGGTTCACTCTTGGCGATCTTTAGTGGGAATATCTTTCGTTTCTTGTGCTCATATGTTCGAAGTGAGGTTGGGGGAGTTGTGGGCGAGGGGAGGGGG